GCGGATGTCGGCGGCTGAGCTCAAGAGCCTGGAGGAGATGAGCATGCGCCGGGGCTTCTTCAACCTCAACCGTGCCTCCAAGCGGGACTCCAAGACCCGCCTGGAGATCTCCAACCCCATACCCATCAAGGTGGCCAGTGGCTCCGACCTGCATCTCACAGACATTGACTCCGACAGCAACCGGGGCAGCGTCATCCTGGACTCGGGCCACTTGAGCACGGCCAGCTCCAGCGACGACCTCAAGGTGGACGATGCCAACTTCAAGGGCTCGGTGCTGCAGCGGGCGGCCAAGTTCGGCTCCTTGGCCAAGCAGAACTCCCAGATGATTGTCAAACGCTTCTCCTTCTCGCAGAAGAGCCGGGATGAGAGCACCTCAGAGACATCCACCCCCTCCGAGCACTCAGCAGCACCCTCCCCGCAGGTTGAGGTGCGCACGCTGGAGACCCAACTCGCCAAGCAAGGGGTCCCTATGGGACACCCCTGTACCCCTCCTGCTGCATCCCTGCGTGCCAGGGTGCCGGAGCTCGTCGACAAGAGGTTCCCTGCCGAGCTGCGGCTGCCCCCATTGGTACCCCCACAACCTCCCACCCCACGGCAGCTGGAGCTGCAGAGGCGCAACACGGGTGATTTCGGGTTCTCCCTGCGCCGCACCACCATGCTGGACCGGGCGCCCGATGGGCAGGTGTACCGGCGCATCGTGCACTTTGCCGAGCCCGGAGCCGGCACCAAAGACTTGGCGTTGGGGTTGGTGCCGGGGGACCGGCTGGTGGAAATCAACGGGAGGAACGTGGAGAACAAATCCCGGGATGAGATCGTGGAGATGATCCGGCAGTCCGGGGACACGGTGCAGCTGAAGGTGCAGCCCATCCTGGAGCTGAGCGAGCTGAGCCGCTGCTGGCTGCAGGGTGGCCAGGGGACGCGCCGTGCTGCCTGGGATGTGAGTAATGTCATCCTCACCATGGGGACAGTGTCCTGGGGGTCTGCTGGCCACCGACATCCTCACAGAGGGTATTTGGGTTGGCAGGGACTGTGCGGTGGATGCCGGGGTTGACCCAGCCAGGAGCGATGCAGGAGGTTGTGGCTGGGATGCAGGAATGATGCCCAAGCGCAGGGCAACAGAGTGGCCACAGGGGCAGGTTGGCACCAGTTTTGAACTGGCACCGGTGGGTTTTGCCCTCAAAACACTCAGTGTGCTCTTGGGTTTGGTTTTCCTCTTGCTGGAGGGGCTCCAGGAGAGCACAGTTCTGCATCTAGTCTGTCCCTAGGGAGAACAGTCCAGCAGGGACAGGAGCTCTGCTCCTCACTGCCGTGAAATCCCTATTGCTGCTTTGCAGGAGGGGCACTGCCCCACTGCCCACATTGGCCTCTTCCCGCTGGATCCCTCCCCAGGGACCGGAGCAGGCAGTGTGATGTGCCGGGGGACGGGAGCTGCCGCCGGCGTGTGCAGCCCGTGCTGGTGCTGTATAAATAGAAGCTTAATGGCTGGGTGACCCACATCTCTTGTATGAGCTGCCTGGCTCTGCTGACCCTGCAGGACTGACCTCTCTGTGGTGGCATGGGCAGCAGCATGACGCTGGTTTTGGGTCTGTTTAGGGTATCTTTAAGCCTTCCTTAGGGAGAGGAGGGTGCCGGTGCCTGCAGAGCAGGTCACCTGCATCGGGGAGAGCTGTGCGGCGTGATGTGGCTGCGGTGAGGTAGATGGGGCACCACAGGGCAATGCCATCGGGATAACCCTGAACCGATACCGCTGTGGGGCTGGGGGACGTGTGCGCGTTCAGTTCTGGAGCCAGCAACGTGCTTGTGACCCTTGAGAGCGCAGTGCTGGGAACGGGGAAGAGGAGTTTCCAGTGCCCTTGGGGCTGTGGGGGAGAGGCTGCACTGCTCAGCCTTGTGCTGGGTCCCGGTGTGGTTACACAGCACCAGCCACGGGAAAGCAGCCAGAGGGGCTGCATTAACCATATTGGTGGCATCTTCTATTGCCACCAGAGCACAGGCACCTCCTGGTGCAGGATGAACTGGGGGAGCATGATGTGGCTTTGCCGGTGCTGGGGAGGCAGGGCTGCGGTGCAGGGTGCAGTCAGGGCTCCCTCACCCAGTGCAAGGTGCCGGCACACAGGGAGGCCTGGCTCTCCCCCCAGGCCCCGCTAAGCTCCCTGGAATGTTTCTGGTCCTAATTTAAATAAAAATGATCCTTTTTGAAACAGGAAATTATAGACATATTTTGGGCTTTTGGGCTCTGGAAGCCCCTCCCTGGCTGGAGCAAGGATGGTGCTGGGCTCCCGGTGTTCCATGAGGGATTTAACCCCTCATCGGGGGCCGTGCTGAGCCATCCTTATCGCTGTGGATCCATGCTGAGGGCAGGCAGGGGCAGCGCCGTGCCTGGAGGTGGTGGTGCTGGGCTCAGCCGGTGTCGTGGGGTTGCTGTGACCAGGAGCAGGGCGAAAGCGCCCTCCACGTCCCGGCGCTGCTCCCGGTGTGGGGCTGGCTCAGCTCCACGCTTCTGTTTATTTATTTACCGGCAAAATTCCTCTGGCAGAAATATTCCAGAAAGGTTTCCGACCGCTCCGGCGCTTTGGAGGGACCACAGGCACGCGGCGGCCGCGCCGGCAGAGCCCTCTTGCCGCCGGCACCATGGTTCCCAAAGGGCGAAGGGCCCCTGTGCCATGGTGCTGGCTCTGTGCCGTGCCCTGTGTCCAACAGGGATGAGGTTTGGGGGGGGTTGAAATGGGAACCGTGCTATTCCCGTTGTGCCAAAGGCGCTTTATTTATCCACGCTTCTTCCATCCTAAGTTCTCGGTTTGGCTCTTTTACCCTTATAACGGGGACGGTGCTGCTGGGGTGCCCCACTATGGGGTTCCCTGGTGGCCATGGGGAGAGGGCTCAGCCGCAGGGATGTCTCTGCTGAAGTTCCTGGAGGAGGAACGATAGGAATTTGCTGGCCAGGCAGAAACGCAGCCACGGAACAGCCCAGTGGGAGCCAGGCTCCTTCCTGGCGCGTGGCTCCATGGGGTGCTTGGGACCCCCTGGGAAGGCAGGACCATGTTGTGTTGCCCATGGGTTTGGCTCTCCCAGTCAAGCCGGGACCCCCTGCTCCCTCTGGAAGTGTTCTTTAGCCCGGGGCACATCTGTGCCACGCAGGGACCTGCTCAGGCACTGACTGGGGTCCCCTCCATGCCCGTGCCCATGGGTCACCACTGCTCCGTGCCTCCGGCATTCCCTGCTGCCGGCCTCTTCCCGGCAGTCCCCGCGCAGGGAGGCCCCCAGCCCCTTGCCCTACTGTTTCCAGGGAGACCCTGGCCCTCCAGAGGCAGCTTTGCCACAGAAGTGGCTTTACCAGGGCTGCCACGCTTCCGTCCGTCTGTCCGTGTATCCCCAGCAGCAGCGGCGGCGTTCCGGGTGGCTGCTGTGTTCATGGGAAACCAAAGGGAGGAGCAAGCGGTGTCAAGGCTGCACCGCTTGGCACGATGCCGGATGCCCCGCTCCCACACCAGGCACCCCAACGTGACACCAGGCACCCCACTATGGGGCTCAGGATGGTGCAGCACTGACCCTCGCCATACAGGGCCCTCATTGCACCCCACCGCTACGCTCAGCCTGGGGGTGTCGTTCCCCTCTCCCCCCCAGGGCGGGCGGTGGGACGGATGCTGGGCTGTTCCCACATCACTTCCTTTGGCCGCGGTGCTGGTGGTGCTGGTGGTGGTGGTGGTGGCGAGGCCCCGCTGCCCGCGTGTCCCTCCCCGTCGCTCCCGGCGTGTGCTGCGCGCGCCGGCGGGGCCCTCACATTCCTCAGGCTATTTTTAGGGTGGCCCTATCAGCCCAGCTGTCCCCGCGCCGGCCCCTCGCACCCGGTTGTGCCGCGCTCGCCTCGGCGGAAACCCCGCTCCCGGCTCACCACGACCCTCGCGGTAAGGTGGGGACCCCCGGTGCGACCAGCACCGCATGGGGGGAGCACAGAGGGGACGGTCCCCTGCTGCACCCATCCATGGGGTGCTTTGGTGGTGCCCACCAGGACCCCCGTACCGGTGTTCCGTTGGGGTCTTTGGGGCAGTTTGGAGGTGGGAGCGCGGTGGGCAGAGGGTTTGGGGGCTCTGAACCATGAGCAGGTTCCTCTTGGGACCCCCGTGCCCAGCTCTGGGCACTGGTGATTCATGCTGCAGTGAGAAGGGGCCCCCTCGGGGATGGGGTGAGGTACCCCCGCACAGGGAGGTGTTTTGGCTGCGTGCTCCTCCGCACCATATCTGGCCTTGGGACAGGGAGTTCTCCCCCGCAGCCCTAGGCACGACCCGCCTGGGTTTCGGAGCACGGCTCTAACTGGGGCAATGGGTCCCTGCCGGGGCTGCCCGGCTGCTGGCATGGGGTCAGGCTCAGAATAAACCCCTGCTGTCAGCGTGAGCAGGGTGCCCGGGGTAGAAAATATCCCTTTCCTCACCCTGGCATTTGCTCACTGCAGGGGGGAAAGCGGAGCACGGTCCTGCAGCCTGACTAAAGGGGCTTATTTTGCGCAATGAGTGTTGTCCAGCCTCAGCCCGGCCGCCTGCCTGTCCCTAGAGCCCTTCCTGTGCTGAGCAGGGCCAAGTGGTCTCAGACCCCCATTCCTGAGGGTCCAAGGCTCCGGGGGCCAGCAGGGCTTAGGCACCGTGCCATGTTTGCCATCCTGCATGCTGTCCTGGGCCCGTCTCACCTCTCCCTCTCTCCCCAGCTCAGGCTGCGGCTCCATGAGACATCGCCATGGCGTTTTCATCCCGGTTTGCGTTCTGGGAGCAGAAGGGAAGTCTCTTGCCTGTTTGCCTGCACCCGCGTTCGGGTCACACTGCCAACCAGTTTGCCTCGGTGCCGGCACTGCCCCAGCCTCACCATAGCATGGCCATGGTCACCGGTGTGGCCACGCATGCGGTGACTAACACCATCACTAACAGCCCCTTTGTGAGCAGCCCCTAACACAGTGTGAGCCCCCTCGGTGCCACCGGCCAGCCCTGGAGCTCAGAGGCAGGGGAGGGTTTGGCTGCCCACCCTGCCACATACTCCTGGTTGTCCTGCTTGGCTCATCCCATGGCGTGCTACAGGGATTAGCTGGTGGCACTTAAAACGTGCTGTGACACCCATGTGGTGACGTGCAGATAGACAGAGCCCCCGTGGGAGTGGTGACGGGCTCGATGTAGCAGCTCACTCATTGCCTGCATGCCTTGAGGGGACCAGGCAGGGTCCTTTCCTCTCCCACTTCTGGGGTTTGCCGTAACCAGGACATATCTCTGTGCTTCAGTCCCTGGGAAGCCTGGAAGGACACATGTCCTCATCCCTGGGGCTGCAACAGGCTGCAGATTGGGGCTGTTTCTTGCTTTCCTGCCCCCCTGGCGTGGAGTGATGATCCCGATGGCTTTTCCTGGTCCCTGTGGCTTTTCTGGCAGCGAGGCCCCACAAAGGGCTGAAACAGGCTCCTCTTGTTTGTGTGACCCTCAGGTCAAGGACGAGGACAAGTCTTTAGCTGTGAAAAGACCTGGGAAGGAGGATGGGGCTGTAAGTGTTGAAGGGCAGGGGCAGGGTGGAGCTGTGCTGGGAATGGGGCTTGCCCTCGGTGGGGACAGACCCTGTACAAGGGTTTGGGGGCATCGTGGAGGGTCCTGGGGACATCGTATTGGGTTGTGGGCTCAGCATCCCCTTGGGGGATGCTGTAGGTTGGCTGGGGAAGGGGTCTGGCTGGGAGCCGGGTACCACCACATCCCAAGCCGCGGGTGCGTGCGGCGGAGGCACCGCACCACCACACCTCCACTCACACCAGTGTCATTGTGGCTGCAGTCAGAGAGCCCGAAGGATGCGGCGCCTGCAGCCCCGAATCCTGAGCCCCCGAAAGCTGAGCCCTCCGCAACTGAGCCCCCGAAGAGCCCGGAGCCACCCCCTGGGCACGGGAAGAGCCCGGAGCCGGTGCTGAATGGTGCAGCCGTGAACGGGCTGGAGGGCCCGGCCACCGAGGCACAAGGGGATGATGAGCAGGGGCTGTCCCGCCGCAGGGTGGTGCGGGTGGTGCGCAAGGTGGTGCGCAAGGTCCTGCCTGGGGAGGACGCCGGCAGTGCCAAGGAACCGGGGCGCGATGCCAAAGGTCCTGAGCCAGTGCCCCCCCCGAGGAAGGAGGAGACGGGCCGAGCACCCGTCCCAGCTCCTCCTGCCCCACCGCCTCCCCCCGCCGTGCCGGCAGCCCCCGCTAAGCCGGAGCCCAAGGATGAGATCTCAGCAGGGCTCAAAACCCTCATGGCAAAGGGCAAAACCAAAGAGCACCGTCCACGGCTCCGGCCGGGGGACAGGCAGGAGAAGTCCCCCGAGCCGCCTGGGGGGGACGCGAAGCCGTCCCTGTCCCCCGGTGCTGAAGCCAAGCCGGAGCCGCTGGGGCATCCTTCGGGAGGGAAAGCAGAGCCGGCAAAGGCATCCGCTCTGAAACCCACCGCCCTGGAGAGGCACAAGGTACCGGTGTGTGTACACGGCGAGGGATGCGCTAACACAGCAGTGTGAGGTTGTGCGGCCCGTGGTGTGAGCTCACCCGCATGGTTTGAAGTGGTTTTGGGGTGTGTGGTGCAGGGTGGGGGTCACTTTTCGGGGCAGTTGCGTGCGCTGCGGCCGCCCCATCACAATACCCCTTGTCTCCCCTCTGGTTCGTGTGGAAAAGAAGCAGCAGCCCAGCGAGAAGCGGCCGATCCCCACAAAAACTGCCCCGGCGCCCCCTCAGCAGGTGTGTGTGGAAGTAGGGACCAGGGTCCCTGGGCATTGGGGGTACCTGCTGGTACCCCAGCTGTGCCAGCCTCCGAGCACTGCTGGGCTGCAAGGCTGTGATAGCCCCTCTGATGCTAACAGTGCTCTGCCTCCAGGCAGCTCCCAGCCCCGCATCCCAGCTGAGCCCGTCAGAGGAGGCACAGCGCCGGCTGGAGAGGATCTTCACCGCTACTGTAATTCCAGGGGCATCGGTGCTCGCGTGCCATCCATGTGGGGTGGGGAGGCATGGCCGGCGTCCGTGCTGTGTGCTCCGTATGGGGTGATTGTACCCCTGCGCCTGGCCACCACTATCGTGGCTCCTTTCTGGGTGGCATTGGCAGTAGGGGATGGATGACAGGGGCTGCTGGTGGGTTTGGGCCATGGGGAGCTGCATTGCCCTGCTGGTGGCATCCCTTTGGCAGCCTGGCACTGGTGGCTGGGATGATGCCAAGGTGGTAACATGGGGATTGTGGCTGTGCCAAGGCCCTGTGGCACGGCACGGTGCTTCTGCTGCTCTCTGCCTCTCACCCCTTCTCTTCTCCTTTCTCTTCTTCCTCGCTGCCGCTAGCTGGACCCTGCCGCCCCGGCACCCAGCCAGGTACCGTACCCCTGTCCTCAGGAGCCCCCTGTTTCTACCAGCGACCCCCTGCCATCCTCTGTGTGCCGCTGGGCTGGCGTCTGTGCCCGCGCCTCGTGCTGGAGCGTAAGGCTTTCCCCATCCCACCCTGCTCCGTGGTGCCAGGGTGGCCGGGGCTGGGTTCCTCTCCCCAGTGCCAGGGAGCCAGGGGTCGTGGGAGGGTGCTCTTGCCCTCAGTGACACAGCCAGGGCGGGCAGGGGTGCAGAGCAATGTAAAGGGACTGAGCACCCAGCATAGCTCATGCCAAAGCAGGCAGTGCTGGCAGAGCTTGCAGCAGGTTGGCACAGTGGCTTCCCAGGGCTTTGGCAGCATGGCCTCATGGCCAGCATCCTTCCTGGCTCCGTGTGTCCCCAGCACAGCGCTGGACCTGCCACTCCACTGGTGACTGTGGTGGCTGTGGCACAGGAGCAGGCTTTGGCACAGCAGTGCTTTGCCCCCGTCGCTTACCGGCACTGCTTCCCGTGCTGTCTGTGGGGCAGAGATTAACCCTTCTCGCCTTCACCGCCATCTCTCGACCTCACCAGGGTCAAGCGGATGATGCCCCGGCAGCCCCCTTTGGCGCCGTCCCTGCTGCAGCTCAGGTTTGGCTTTGGGGCTCCCCCTGCTCCCAGTTGGTGGGGACATTCCCGCTGTGCTGGCAATGCCAGCCCGGCATTTCCCACACCGCGGAACTCTGCCGTCGCTGTGCCGCGTCCCGTGTCCCTCTGTCACGTCTGAGCGGCGTCTCCCGCGTCCCTAGTGTGCAGCATGCCCCACGTCCCCACAGCATGCCTGGTGTCCCTGTATCCTGGCACTTGCTCCATGGGCTGTGGTTTGGGGGTTTGGCCCCTCCAGGCTTGCCCAAGGTGCCCATGGTGGATGTGCTCATGGGTCACTGTCGCTCTGTGTCTGTGGCAGGGCCCTGGTGGTCTCTGCAGCCCCAGGGGCAGTGGGCAAGCTGGGGTTTGCTGGGGTTTTTGGCTGCCCAGCACATGGCCCCGTGGCCAGGCTGCTTCCTTCAGCCCCAGAGACATGGGGAGGGGGTGAGATGGGAGGTGGGGCAGATGACCACAATCACCCCACATCCCGCTGTCCCACAGGCAAAGACAGAGGAGCAGATAGCAGCCGAGGAGGCCTGGTATGAGACCGAGAAGGTGTGGCTGGTGCACAGGGATGGCTTCTCCTTGGGTGAGTCAGGAATCAGCCTGGTGCCACGGGGCCATGGAGCTCTCCCTGTGCTTCCCATGGCTGCGGTGTCCCCAGGGCGCTGCTGGCACAGCGCTGCTGAGCATCCCATGCGTCTCGCAGGCAGCCAACTACGGCCAGAGGACGGCAGCCCCCTGCCTGAGGGCAAGGTGAAGGTGAAGCTGGACCACGATGGAGCCATCCTGGAGGTGGAGGAGGACGATGTGGAGAAGGTAAGGCCACAGGATGGGGAGCAGTGGCACAGCCCCTCATTTCCCACCTGATCCCACCCCCCTTCACCTCGCTGCCAGGCGAACCCCCCGTCCTGTGACCGTGCTGAGGACCTCGCCAGCCTCCTCTACCTCAACGAGTCCAGCGTTCTGCACACGCTGCGGCAGCGTTACGGCGGCAACCTCCTGCACACCTACGCCGGCCCCACCATGGTCATCATCAACCCGCTGAGCTCCCCATCCATGTACTCCGAGAAGGTGAATTTGGTGCTGACGGGGTGGGGTGGGGAAGCAGAGGGGACACAGGGAGCAGGGTGCTGACCCTCGCCCGCTGTCCCCCACCAGGTCATGCACATGTTCAAAGGGTGCCGCAGGGAGGACACGTCCCCGCACATCTACGCGGTGGCTCAGGCTGCCTACCGCAGCATGCTCATGAGCCGCCAGGACCAGGCTGTGGTGCTGCTGGGTGCCAGCGGCAGCGGCAAAACCACCAACTGCCAGCACCTCGTCCAGTACCTCGCCACCATCGCCGGCAGCACCGGGAAGGTCTTCTCCGGTGAGTCCCCGGCGTGCTGCAGGGTCCCCGCATGCCTCTCGCTTTGCGGTCCCAGCGTCCTGCTGCGGCCGGACACGTGCCACACGTCGTGCTTTCACTTTGTCACCCCGGCCCCTTTACCGCGGGCGGCCGTGGCGCGGAGCATGGCACAGGAGCAGCCGCGCTTGGCTGCACCGCAGCACCCCGCTCCTCTTCCCGCAGCGGAGAAGTGGCAGGCTCTCTACACCGTCCTGGAGGCTTTTGGCAATAGCAGCACCGGCATGAATGGCAACGCCACTCGCTTCTCACAGATCATCTCTCTGGACTTCGACCAGGCTGGGCAGGTGGCATCTGCCTCTGTACAGGTGAGGGGGCCGGGGTGGCCCCCCCCAGTGCATCCTTAGCAGGGCAGCTCCCCATTGTGCAGGAGCTGGTCCATCCTCCACGAGGTGTTTCCTCCTGCTCGCAGCGCTTAGCAGCCAGGCATCCTTCTCTCATCTGTGTTCACACCCCAACACGCACACATCAGATGGCCTCCCTGCGTCAGCAGCTCTCTGCCTTCCAGACACTGTTCTGGTGTGATAACAGCAGAGCCCCTAATTCCAGAGAGCCTCTTCTTGCTCCTGTAGTAGCAAACACCCAGGAGAGGAGATGCTCCTGGGTTGCCTGGATGATGTTTGCATTCATGTGATGCCCTGCAGCGGGCAGGAGACCCTCATGTCTCCGCAGGGACCTTGGGCAGGCAGTAAGAATGAGGCTGGGGTGGGCTGGGTCTTGGTGGGAGCCTTGGTGGTCCTTGGGGATGGTTCCCAACCCTCCCATTCACCAGACGCTGCTGCTGGAGAAGCTGCGTGTCGCCAAGCGCCCGGCCAACGAGGCCACCTTCAATGTCTTCTATTACCTGCTGGCCTGCTCTGACAGTGCCCTGAGGTGAGCTGGGGGGTGAGGCCATGGCCCTGGCTTAGGGGGTCTCTGGGGTCTCCCATATGGAGCCAATCGTGGTGTTTATCCCCATAGGACCGAGCTTCACTTCAACCACCTGGCAGAGAACAACGTCTTTGGCATCACACCCCTCTCCAAGGTCACTGCTGTGGGGCTGGATGGGGGTCTATGGGGGGGGGGGGGGGGGGGGCTGGACCATTTGGTTGCAGGGGAGGCAGAGCCAGGCTCCCACACTGATGGCTCCTGTTGCTTTTACAGCCAGAGGAAAAGCAGAAGGCGACCCAGCAGTTCAACAAGCTGCAGGCTGCCATGAAGGTGATGGGCATCGCCAGTGATGAGCAGAAAGCCTTCTGGCTCGTCCTCGGTGCCATTTATCACCTGGGGGCTGCCGGGGCCACGAAAGGTAACGTGCTGCTCTGGGCTGGGAGGCATTAATGAGCCAAGGCTGGGGCTGGTGGCTGCATGGGGTCGAAGTGATCACCAGCACCTTGTAAATAACCCCCTCCTGGTGTGACTCAGCCCTGGGGGGGGTGTTCGGGCTGTGTCACTTGGGGACAGTGCCCTGCCACCCTGTGTGCTCTGGGACACCCAGTTCTGCCCCCTTGGTTGGGGTGGTCCCACTGGCTGGTGGGGATTGAGCACCCCAGACCCTGAGCTGGCCCCTGTCAAGTTGGGGGACCAGGAGCCTGACTGGGGCTGAGGGAGTCGGGGGTACAAGTGTCCCTGTCCCCAGTGTAACATCTCTCCCCTGTCCTCCTGCAGAGCCGCTGGCAGATGGAGCCGGTAATGGGAGCCATGGGGGGCTCTGCTCCGGGTGGTGCCATGCGGTGCTGAGTTTGGGGCTGGGAGTGGGGCTTGGGATGCTGCTGGTGTGCTGGGACCAGCCCTGATGCCCGGCTGGGTCCTGGCAGCTCCATCTTTGCCTGCTGCCCCCCAACCCAGTCCTGTTGATACCATTGTTGGTGTGGGCACCAGCACCCAGAGCTTACCATGGGCTGCAGGGCTTGCTCTGATGGGTGCCAGCTTCACTGTTCATCCCTGGGAGTGGTGAATTTGGCTTCATGGGGCTGCTCTTCTCCCCCTGGGGCTTTCACCTTCCCACCGTGGAAGCCCCCCTGGTGCTGCATGCTGACAGGAGGGCCTGGGTATGGCACAACCAAAGCGGGCACCTGGAGCTGGTGGCTGTGCCAGGGGAAAAAGATGAGTTGGGGATGGGAAGAGAGAGACCAGGAGGATCTCGGGGGCACGACGTGGTGCAGTGCTGGCGCTTGGGGTGCTCCAAGGCACTAGAGGGCAGCAGGGCCCTGCTGCAGCCATGCTTGGGCAGCTCTGGAGCCTCCTCATGGGGGTCTGCTGAAGGAGGAGCCCCACATCCTGCTTGGGGGGAAGCATCCCTGCATCCTGCTCAGGGAGAGCATCCCAGCCCCAGCTCTGTGCTGCATCTCGTGGGGATGCTCATTGCCAGCTCAGCCGCGCCAGCCCCCGTTTCCTTGGCTCCTTTATACTTGTAGTGGGCTGGATCCATCAGCAGCTCCCCATGGCAGAGCTGGGCTGCTCCGCACCACTGCGCCTGGGGCTCACAGGGGAAGGGTCCCCATGCTGGGTCGCAGGGTCTCACCGCAGCGGTGCCGGGGGGAGGACCAGGCTTGGCATGTGCGTGGCGTGAGGGTGCCGGTGTTTCTAACCCTGTCTCTGTTCGCATGGTGCATGCTGCCCCTTTGCAATGCAGACGCCGACGAAGGTAAAGTCTTGTTCTCCACGTGTCTCTAGTTTCCCCCTCCCAACTGCCGTGTCACCATTAACCACCTCCCACCTCACCTGCCAATCCCCAGCATCCCTGTGCTTGGGTCTGTCCTGCCCCATTGCAGGGGGGATGCTCAGTGCATGTGGCCGAGCAGGGATGTGTCCCCGTGCTGGGGTAGCTCAGAGCCCCACACCATCACAGGCCCCGGGGGTCCCTGGGTGGTGGCACTGAGAGGTGACCCCCACTCTCTGACCCACAGCATGGCTCTGGGCTGAGCCCTGCAGAGGCACAAAGCCGTTCATTCCCCATCTCCTCTAATCAGACCCCAGAACACGCTTCCCAGCTCTCCTGCATCAGCCACGTGCTCCTGTGCACAGCATTCCCAGCCTATTTTGGGGGATCTGAGCCCATCCCAGGGCTGGCTGGGGGTGCCCCCCCATGTGGGGGATGCTGTGGCCGGTGCTGAGCCCCCTTCTCCCCTCTTGCAGCCGGGAGGAAGCAGTTTGCAAGGCACGAGTGGGCTCAGAAAGCTGCCTATCTGCTGGGCTGCAGCCTGGAGGAGCTCTCCTCCTCCATCTTCAAGCACCAGCCCAAGGGCACCCTGCAGAGATCCACCTCCTTCCGGCAGGGCCCCGACGAGCCACCCCTGGGCGAGAGCAGCACAGGTATGGTGAGGGATGGGATGGTGGGGACAGCCCCAGGGGACACCAGCATGGGGACACTAAGCATTGCCTTGGCCAGGTCCCAAGCTGACAGCACTGGAGTGCCTGGAGGGCATGGCAGCCGGCTTGTACTCTGAGCTCTTCACCCTCCTCATCTCCCTCCTCAACAGGTACGTGATGGGTGACCGGGGAGGTGCCGGGGTGGCCGGACAGCACCCAGTCACCCCGCTCTGTCCCTTTGTCCCCGCAGGGCACTGAAGTCAAGCCAGCACTCGGTGTGCTCGGTGACGGTGGTGGACACCCCCGGGGCACAGAACCCGGAGCTGTCAGGGCAGAGCCGAGGGGCCACCTTCGAGGAGCTGTGCCACAACTATGCCCAGGAGCGCCTGCAGCTCCTGTTCCACCAGCGCACCTTCGCCCGCGAGCTGGAGCGCTACAAGGAGGTGACAGGGACACCCCCAAGGGCTGCCATCGCCTCCTCCCCACTCTCCATGAGCATCTCGTGTCCTTTCCCCCATGGTTTCTTGCCCTATGGTTGCTCTGGACCAGTCCAGCAAAGCAGCTCTGATGATGCTCTGTGCAGCCGCGGTCATGCCGGGGCTCCCTTCCTGGCAGCACCTTTGCTGGCAGCTCCAGCTCCATCCCAGCAGCTTTGTTTGACAAAGTGCCAGGCTATGGGTAGTGTTGGTGGTGAAGATCACTGTCGCTGCTCCATCTTTGCGCGACCCTTCCGTGTGTCCTGGTCCCTCCTTGGCACCCAGCACTGTGGAGCAGTGGGACACTGGGAATGTCCTGCTTCCTTCCTACACCCCCTTGAGACCAATTGCCAGTCCCTATCACTGCCTCCTCACTGCATGGTCACTGACTGAGCCTCTGTTCCCCCTCACCAGGAGAACATAGAGCTTGCCCTGGCTGATGCTGAGCCCAGCTCTTCTGGCTCTGTCGCTGCCGTAGACCAGCCCTCGCACCAGGCACTGGTAAGCACACACTGCGCTTCCTTCTGGTCACATCGTGGCCTGATGCAGCCCTGTGCGGTTTTCTGGGCCTTTTGGGAGTAGTTTGGGTTAGGAGAGGGGCTGTCCTGAACGCTTGGCTGTGAGAGCACATCTGCAAGTGTGTGTGCAGCCCCCATCCCTGGTGCATCCACTGCTGTGGTGTCCCCACTAGCTCTGGGAGCTGCCTGTGCTGCGGGCAGGAGGGTGCAGAGATATTGGGTGATCCCTGGGGTGCACCAGTCCTCGAGGTGCTCAGGTCCCCAGGGTTTATGGGTCCTCAGGGTTCTCCAGTCCCTTGAACGCTCTGGTCCTCAGGGTACATAGGTCCCCAAGGTGCACCAGTCCCTGGAGTGCTCCAGTCCCTGCTCAAGGAGGCTGCAGAGACTAAAGGGGCTGCTAGCACCACCCCTGCCCTGGGTTTCAGCCCATGGGTGCCTGAGCAATGACTTTTCCACCCCAGCCATATGCACTGCCCAGAGTGTTGCAGACATTTCCCTTGCTGGGTTTCCATGAAGCAGGGCCCCTCTCTTTGCTGCTGACAGCACCCAAGGTTGCATCCCAGGGTCAGGCCTGTGTCCCCTGTGTCACCGCGGGGATGCCGGCGTGCCGGATGGGACCCAAGCACCGTGTCACCCACAGGTCCGGTCACTGGCACGCACGGACGAGGCACGAGGGCTGCTGTGGCTGCTGGAGGAGGAGGCTCTGCAGCCGGGCGGCAATGAGGACACCTTGTTGGAGCGGCTCTTTTCCTACTACGGCCCCCAGGAAGGAGGCAAGAAAGGTGAGGAGGAGCCTGGCACCATGGGGCAGTGCATCAGTGCTGGTCCCTGGGGCTGTGCCCAGCGGTGCCGTGTCTCCCTACAGGACACAACCCGCTGCTCCCCAGTGACAAGCCCCGGCACTTCCTCCTGGGGCACAGCTCGGGGACCAACTGGGTTGAGTACGATGCCACGGGCTGGCTCAACTATGTCAAGCACAACCCAGCCACCCAAAACGCCTCCATCCTGCTGCAGGAGTCGCAGAAGTGAGTCTGGTCCTGGGGTAGGGGGGATCACAGTGGGGTAAGAGGTGATTTAGAGGGTGACATCCCCTCCGTGCCCCACAGGAAGGTCATCAGCAGCCTGTTTGCCGGCCGTGGTGGGTCAGCGCTGGTGCTGTCGGGCTCGGTGGCAGGGTTGGAAGGGGGGTCCCAGCTCGCCCTGCGCCGCGCCACCAGCATGCGCAAGACCTTCACCACCGGCGTGGCCGCCGTCAAGAAGAAGTCCCTCTGCATCCAGATCAAGCTGCAAGTGGTGAGCGAGGGGATGCCACACGGGGAGGGATGGATGGATGGATGGATGGATGGATGGATGGATGGATGGATGGATGGATGGATGGATGGATGGATGGATGATGGATCACTAGGTCCAGCTGGGATATCACTGCCTGTCACCGCTCACCTCCGTCTCCCACGCCTGCAGGACGCCCTCATCGACAGCATCAAGAAGTCCAAGCTGCACTTTGTGCACTGCTTCCTGCCCAAGGCGGCGGGGGGCGGCGGGGACCCCCGTGCCGGGCCGTGCCGGCGGGTGAGCGGCAGCGAGCTGGAGCTGCCCGCGGAGCACTGCGAGGCCGGGCTCATGCAGCTCGACGTGCCCCTGCTGCGCGCCCAGCTCCGCGGCTCCCGCCTGCTCGATGCCCTCCGCATGTACCGCCAAGGTGAGATGTGGCACCCTGCGGGGTGTGGGGATGGATCCTGGACGTGTCCCCTCCGTGGGGAGCCAAACCCTGCCCAGCGACCCCCTTTGGCACATCCCATTACTCCAAACCCCACCGCATCCCCCCACCGTGGTCCTGTCCCCCCTCCCTTGTGCTGGGGACAGGCATGGCCTTAATAGGGTGTCTCCACTGGTGCCGCCGGCTCCTGGCAGCATTCCTGCTGGCAGCCCGCCCCAATCCCACTGGGACAAGGGCCTCTGGGTCATGCTCAGCAAAGCATTTATCGATGCACGTGGCTGGCTGCCCAGCCAGGGGTTTACTGCCTGGGGGTTGGACCCATCCTGCTGCAATAGGGAATCGATGCCGCCCGGATCGATGGCCGCTGTGCCGGGGTCGGCAGCCCCATCAATACCCCATCACTAATTAAGATGTGGAGGCTCGGCACCGTGAGCATGACGGCGAAGTTGGCTGTGGCTCAGGAAGGAGCCTGTTTGCTTGCACAAGCAACACACGTGTCCCTGAGCTCCCCTGAGGCAGGATCCGGCCGCTTGCTCCATGGATCCTGGCCAAAATAGCTGGAGGATGCAGCCAAGGAGAGCGTCCCGGGGAGGGTTGGGGTTCTCCGGCCGTGCTTGTGCCATGTGGGGTGACACCATCAGCTCTCCCAAAAGATGGTCTCCAGCAAGTCAGGGCACATAGGGCCGTCCCCGGCCATCCCCTGGGTGTCCTGGCTGCTCCTACATCCCCCTTGTTCCCCACAGGGTACCCTGACCACATGGTGTTTGCGGAGTTCAGGCGGCGCTTTGACGTCCTGGCCCCTCACCTGACCAAGAAGCACGGGCGCAACTACATCGTGGTGGATGAGAAGCGGGTACGTGCCCTGTGCTGGGACCACTGCTGCACCCCAGGGGTCTCCTGCACCCCAGGGTGCTGCCAGCACAGCCCTGACACCTCTCCCTTCCTGCAGGCAGTGGAGGAGCTCCTGGAGTCGCTGGACCTGGAGAAGAGCAGCTACCACATGGGTCTGAGCCGGGTATGGTGACCCTGGCTGTGGGCAGGGATGGGTGGCATGGCATGGCACAGGGTGGCACGGCCGCACAAGGCCAGCACTGTTTGTTCCCCCCTACGACATTCCTCTTGTCTGAGGAATAAAACCCCCACGGTGGGACAGGACCGGAGGCTGCAGAGGGGAGAGCTGCGTCCCCAGCAGCCGGTGCAGCCGGAGGGATGCCGGCACCCATCGGCATCTCGCCCTGCTCCCGTCCCGCAGGTGTTTTTCCGGGCTGGATCGCTGGCCAGGCTGGAGGAGCAGCGGGATACGCAGACCAGCAGGAACATCACCCTCTTCCAGGCAGCTTGCAGGGGTTTCCTGGCACGGCAGCAGTTCAAGAAGAGGAAGGTTCGTCCCAGCAGCTCTCCCCTCCCAGCTCTGCTGCACAATTTCGCCTAAAATGGGCAGCGCAGCCTTTCTGCTGCCTCCTGGGCCAGCACCTCCTCCTCCCGCCTCCCCCCACACCCGCCCAGCTGTGGGGGGCCAGGGGGAACCGGGGTTTTGAGGGGAATCATCGGGCATCGCTGCGGTGGGATGGAGCAGAGCATCGGCTCCTACTTTTAATAGTAGAGAGGGTGTAAAGCAGGCACCTTGGCAGCTCCTCACCGTGAGATTAGCTTTGAGGGGCTGGAAAGAATCAACCAGATGAGCCGGGTGCAATTAGCCCAAATGCTAACAAAGGGGAGCGTGGCAGGGTGCTGAGCACCCACCCTGCTTTGTCCCACTGACGCCGTACCCTGCGGTGATTCCAGATCCAGGATTTGGCCATCCGGTGCGTGCAGAAGAACATCAAGAAGAACAAGGGGGTGAAGGACTGGCCCTGGTGGAAGCTCTTCACGACGGTGCGGCCCCTCATCGAGGTGCAGCTCACTGAGGACCAGATCCGTGGCAAAGACGTGGGTATCTCTATGCTGGGGGATGCTGAATGGGGCAGAGAGGGGCCTGGGGGGGGGGGCTAGTCCCAGTCAGGACCTCACAGTGGGGTGGGATGCAGGATTCTGTGTTAGGGTTGGGATGCAGGATCCTGTGGTAGGGTTGGGATGCAGGATCCTGTGGTAGGGTTGGGATGCAGGATCCTGTGGTAGGGTTGGGATGCAGGATCCTGTGGTAGGGTTGGGATGCAGGATCCTGTGTTAGGGTTTGGATGCAGGATCCTGTGGTGGGGTGGGATGCAGGATCCTGTGGTAGGGTTGGGATGCAGGATCCTGTGGTGGGGTTGGGATGCAGGATCCTGTGGTGGGGTGGGATGCAGGATCCTGTGGTAGGGTTGGGATGCAGGATCCTGTGGGAGGGTTGGGATGCAGGATCCTGTGGTGGGGTTGGGATGCAGGATCCTGTGGTGGGGTGGGATGTAGTATCCTGTGTGGGGTGGGATGCAGGATCCTGTGGTGGGGTGGGATGCAGGATCCTGTGGTGGGGTTGGGATGCAGGATCCTGTGGTGGGGTGGGATGCAGGATCCTGTGGTGGGGTGGGATGCAGGATCCTGTTGTAGGGTTGGGATGCAGGATCCTGTGGTGGGGTGGGATGCAGGATTCTGTGGTAGGGTTGGGATGCAGGATCCTGTGATAGGGTTGGGATGCAGGATCCTGTGGTGGATTGGGATGCAGGATCCTGTGTTAGGGTTGGGATGCAGGATCCTGTGATGGATTGGGATGCAGGATCTTGTGGTGGAGTGAGGCGCAGGCTCCTATGGCGTGGTGGGATGCAATAACCCATGGCTGGGAGGGATGCAGGACCGTGGCTGCCCCATACCCCATCAGCGCCAGGCTGGGATTGCTCCCTCATTTGTGATCAGCATGTCATTAGCATCCCCAGAGCCGGCTGTTGCCTGAGCCCAATTACAAGGCGTGGAGAATGGAAATGAAACTGTGCCGAGAGGCATCTGCGGGGGCCACCCCGTGCTGGCAACCAGACACTGCTGCCCCTGCCGATCCCGCCCAGCACAGAGCCTGGCTCAGCTTTCACCCTCATGGGTGCCTGTGCTGGGTTCAGAGGAGGGAGGGAAAGATGCTGGCCCGTGGTCCCCAGGCATCCTGCTGAGCCCCCTCCCTCCCCATCCGGGCCGGGTGCACCCAAACCCTTTGTTGAGCTGCCGATGAGTGGGTTTGCTCCCACCCCATCTCCTAAGGGGATGCAGGGACCCCTCTCTGTCTCCGCTGGGGCTGCCTGGTGTTTTGACACCATTTATGGGGCTGGAGTCAGCACGGCAGCGTTGGGGAATTTCCCTGCCCAGCCTTTGGCAGGGGAGCCCCCATCCTGCCCACCCAGTGCTGGGGGGGGTGCTGCGGGGACCTGCCCTGCTCTGCCCCCCTCCCTCACTGCCCACTCTGCTGCAGGAAGAGATCCAGCAGCTGAAGAGCAAGCTCGACAAGGTGGAGAAGGAGAGAAACGAGCTGCGGCTCAACAGCGACCGCCTGGAGAGCAGGGTAGGTCCTGCCCGCACCGGGAGCGGCTGCGATGCCGTGCCCTGGCCCATGGACCCATTCCCCCCCCCCCTTCTCCCCAGATCACGGAGCTGACATCGGAGCTGACGGACGAGCGGAACACTGGAGAGTCAGCTTCCCAGCTGCTGGACGCCGAGACAGCCGAGAGGCTGCGGGCAGAGAAGGAGATGAAGGACTTGCAGGTGAGTGCTCGTCTCCACAGCCACGCAGCGTCTCCTTCACCCCTCGGTGCTCACCGTGGCCTTGTCCCCTCTCAGGCTAAGTACGATGCTCTGAAGAAGCAGATGGAGTCGATGGAGATGGAGGTGATGGAAGCTCGGCTCATCCGGGCGGCAGAGCTCAATGGGGAGCTGGATGATGATGATTCTGGTACTGCCCTGTCTCCGGTGCTGGCTGCTGGCACACCTTGGTGCCCCGTGACCACAGCACTGTGCCCCCCTCTCCGTGGTGGCCCCGTAGCACCCCATGCAGCCCCTTGGTGACCCAGATTCCCCTTGCAGGTGGCGAATGGCGGCTGAAATACGAGCGTGCGGTGCGGGAGATCGACTTCACCAAGAAACGGCTGCAGCAGGAGCTGGAGGACAAGCTGGAGGTGGAGCAGCAGGGCAAGAGGCAGCTGGAGAGGAAGGTGAGTGGGGCTCAGCCCCAGGGACCCCTTTATCCACTCAGCATGGGGATGGGCAGCTTGGAACTGAGGGAGCACAATGCCAGTGGGGACATGGTGGCTTCCTCAGCACCCTGCCTGCTCCTGCCCCTAGCTGACAGACCTGCAGGCGGACAGCGAGGAGAGCCAGCGGGTGCTGCAGCAGCTGAAGAAGAAGTGCCAGCGCCTGGCTGCGGAGCTGCAGGACACCAAACTGCACCTCGAGGGCCAGCAGGGACGGAACCACGACCTGGAGAAGAAGCAGCGGAGGTGGGGACCGCGCGCCGGCGGTGCCGGGACGCAGCAGGGGTGGCATCCTCGCCACGCAGCGAGCCTCTTGCAGAGTGGCATTACCATTTTAGCAGGGATTTGGGCACTCCACCAGCTCCCACTTGGCCGAGGTGTCTCCAGTGGGATAGAGCTGCCCGAGTCGGGTGTTTATGGTGATGGGGGTGATTCTGATGCTATTTTTGGGGGCTCAGAGCTGAGTGATCCCCCCCTGTGTGAGGCTGTGGTCTATGGTGGAGGCTGCTCATGCTCCCTGGCTGTGCTCAGCACTCGCTCTCATCCCGTCCCCTCTCCCAGCCCCGGAGTTTGCTAACGTTATTAAGCAGCAGGGACGCTTTCATCTCATTATGGTAATGATCACACACACAAATACAGCAAGAGAATCCAATCTAATTAATTTCAATTTCCGTGGATTGGAGCCTGTGTTAATGCAGCTGTTTATTACCCAGTGCGAGCAGGAACGGGGATTAGCTGCGAGGTGTTTAATGCAGGTCACAGACTCAAACACAGGGTTGTTTTCCAAGCCCCAAAGGCAGCAGTTTCAGAGCAAACCCCACTGATCCCATCCCAGGGGCATAGGGAAAAGCTGCCCCATGAGCAGTCCCCCACCAGGAGCTCATGACCTCCCTGGGTATGGCACCAGTGCCATCCCACATGGGACCGTGGCACTGGGCTGCATCCGTGGAGCTGAGATGCCACAAGAGCCCATCTCAGCTGGAGACCCCCATGTATTGCAGCCCCTGCATGTCCTGCTCTGAGGGTGCAGTGTCCCCAGATGCCTATTGCATAGCAGAGTGTCAACATCAGCATGTACCAGCCCCACTGTGGGTGCTGCACTCCATTAGCCACTGAGGGAAGGAGGTGGGAGGAGTTTCTCCAAGTGACTCCGTGCCACCGTGCTGGCAATTAAAAGCTCATCAGCAGCATGTTTCAAATGAGCAGCCGGCGACACGCTGCCCTTCTTAGTGCCTGCTGGTGTGTGATGGGGATGCTCGGCACGGTGCTGGTGGCACAGGGCTGGGGACCCATTCCTGGTGCCCGTGGCAGTGTGCTGAGTGCCTGTCCTGCTGTCCCCACACAGGTTTGATAGCGAGCTCTCGCAGGCGCACGAGGAGGCACAACGGGAGAGGCTGCAAAGGGAGAAGCTGAGCCGCGAGAAGGACGTGCTGGTGGCCGAGGTCTTTGGCCTCAAGCAGTTGCTGGAGGTGAGTGGTCCCATGTCCTCTCCCCAGTCCGTCCACCAGTGGGTGTCCCGGGCTCATGGTGCCCCCCTCTCGTTGCAGGACAAGGACTCGGACATCGCAGGGCTGACACAGAAGGCAGAGGCGCTGGAGGCTGAGCTGCAGGACATCTCCTCCCAGGAGTCAAAGGATGAAGCCTCCCTGGCCAAGGTGAAGAAGCAGCTGAGGGACCTGGAGGCGAAGGTCAAAGACCAGGAGGAGGAACTGGATGAGCAGGCTGGGACCATCCAGATGCTGGAGCAGGTACAGCGGGGAGGGGCGAGGTTTCTGGGTGGGGTGGTTTCATGCAGGGCTGTTATTACCTGGGACGGGCTTGCCCGGGAAGAGGAGGTGTTGGGCCAGGCATCATTGGTGCCGACACGGCTCCTGGCTCTCCGTGCCATGGCCCGGCAGGTCACTGTGGGGCGGGAAGCCCGGCCGGCCTCAGACCGGGGGGCTTTCCGGGTGAGTGGCACCCAGGGAATGGCACTGGGGTCCCCCCACGTCCCCTTTGCTCTGACCACATCCCCCCCTTCCCATTTGCAGGCCAAGCTGCGGCTGGAGATGGAGATGGAGCGGCTACGGCAGACCCATGCCAAGGAGGTGGAGAGCCGCGACGAGGAGGTGGAGGAGATTCGGCAGTCGTGCCAGAAGAAGGTAGGGCTGGGCTGCGGCCCCTCTGCCCATGGGTGTCCGGGATGTGTCCCTGTGCCCTGGTCGGATGCTGGGAGCTGCCAGCCGGGCACCATCAGGCAGTACCCGGCTCCCACGCGTCCAGCCGCAGCCCGGCTCCACTGGCTCGGCGAGTCCGACCGGTCCCTCCGCTGCCCGGGCCAGCGCACACTGGGCTTTGTGCCTGTGGTTGCGCAAACACCGGGATGATGGGGTCACCCCGAGTCCCCAGTGTGTGGGGACACGCAAGAGGAAGGGGTCCCAGCCCCTTCCCGTTACCCTGAGCGGCTGCCTGGGCTGTCCTGCAGCTGAAGCAGATGGAGGTGCAGCTGGAGGAGGAGTACGAGGACAAGCAGAAAGTGCTGAGAGAGAAACGGGAGCTGGAGAGCAAGTTATCTGCTGTCAGTGAGCAGGTAGGGTGCAGGGTGGCTTTGGGAGCCCCATGGTGGGGTGGGCGCCCTGCTGGCAGTGTCCCGGAATGATGCCCCCCGTGCCACAGGCCAACCAGCGGGACTTCGAGACGGAGAAGCGCCTGCGCCGGGACCTGAAGAGGACGAAGGCGCTGCTGGCCGATGCACAGATCATGCTGGACCACCTGAAGAACAACGCGCCCAGCAAGAGGGAGATCGCCCAGCTCAAGAACCAGGTGAGCAAACAGATTCCCCCCCCAGAACCACAGCCCTCGAGGGACACGGGGTGCCCCCAGCCCTAAGCTGGGCACTGAGCCGTGTCCCCACAGCTGGAGGAGTCGGAGTTCACGTGCGCGGCCGCCGTCAAGGCCCGCAAGTCCATGGAGGTGGAGATCGAAGACCTTCACCTGCAGATCGATGACCTCTCCAAGGCCAAGGCAGCGGTGAGTGGGGTTTGGGGTCCTACCCCACCTGCAGCCAGGGGGACATCCGGCACCATGCGTGCTGTCAGGGTGGCCCCACACCATTTGGGTGGCTTTGGGGGTGGGTGCCCTCCTCTTGGGGTGCAGTGGGAGACACGAGCGGCTCCCCGCAGCTGGAGGAGCAGCTGAGCCGGCTGCAGCGGGAGAAGAACGAGGTGCAGAGTCGGCTGGAGGAGGACCAGGAGGACATGAATGAGCTGATGAAGAAGCACAAGGCGGCTGTGGCTCAGGTGAGGGGGGAACAGCAGCCACAGCACCCCCATAACTCCCTTCTCGGAGCCGGCACAATGGGGTCCCTGCTGATGGCCTCCATGTGTCCCACAGGCATCCCGGGACCTGGCGCAGATGAGCGACCTCCAGGCACAGCTGGAGGAGGTCAGCAAGGAGAAGCAGGAACTGCAGGAGAAGGTAGGGAGCATTGACACTGGCCATGGGGATGCGCCATGAGTGAAGCCAGGGGGCACATGGGGGCACCCAGAGACCTGCTACCCGCAGTACGGGGTGCAGAGCATTCCCATGGGGAGCTCTCCATTGGGATGGGAGCGGCAAGGCTGGCAGCTGGCGACCAGGGAGGTTGTGGTTGAGGCTGTGTTTCCCCTGCAGCTGCAAGGCCTGCAGAGCCAGCTGGAATTCCTGGAGCAATCCATGGTGGATAAGTCGCTGGTGAGCCGGCAAGAGGCCAAGATCCGTGAGCTGGAGACCAGGCTGGAGTTCGAGCGGACGCAAGTCAAGCGCCTGGAGGTAGATCCCTCCGTGTGGAACCGGGATACACCGGGACCATGCCGTGAAGCTGCCCAGGGCATCCCCTGAGCACATCCTAAGCATCCCCTTGCAGGCCCCCCACGCTGCAGCCCTCCCCTGCTGGCAGCTGTCCCCATTCCTGCAGGGAAAGCTCCCTGCAAGCGCCGATAACAGTAATCCAGCACCCAGCCCAGCAAAGTGCTGCTTTCTCCCTGCATTGACTTAGGGAAATTATAGACTCTGTCGGCCCCGCTAAACGCAGCCTGCTTTATATTCTGCCTCTGCAGCTCTGCCGGGGAGTGGAGCAGCTTAGCTCTCCTCTTAATATTTTCCAGGCTATTATTTTCCTTCCCCGCTCCCTCTGCCGGGGCCATAAATATGCAGTGGCTGGCTCAGTGGCTTGGGGGAGAATGGAGCTATTTTTTCCCCTACGTTACACGCTTTAATTACTTCACACAGAGTTAAATCTATTTTCCCAATTCAACAAAGCCCTCGTGGTTGTGCTACCCCTTCCCCGGCCCTGGGAGGGGGGGTTTCTCCTTCATCCCCTTGAGGATGGGAGCCATTTGGTGGGTGATGCTCTAGGGGGAAGGGTTTGTGGAGGGATATAGGGTGAGCCCATGCCTGCTGCTCCACAGAGCCTGGCCACACGGCTGAAGGAGAACATGGAGAAGCTGACGGAGGAGCGGGATCAGCGCGCAGCTGCTGAGAACAGGGAGAAGGAGCAGAACAAGCGGCTGCAGCGGCAGCTTCGCGATGTCAAGGAGGAGATGGGCGAGCTGGCCAAGAAGGAGGCAGAGGCCAGCCGCAAGAAGCATGAACTGGTGAGGGACCCCCAACAGGGCTGGGCAGGGGGAACAGGGGTGTTTTCCTGGGACACCCAGCTCATCCTGCTCCCTCCCTGCAGGAGATGGACCTGGAGAGCCTGGAAGCCGCCAACCAGAGCCTGCAGTCGGACCTGAAGCTGGCCTTCAAGCGCATCGGGGACCTGCAGGCGGCCATCGAGGATGAGATGGAGAGTGACAGCAATGAGGACCTCATCAACAGGTAAGAGCAGCCGGGCCTGGCCCCTGTGCAAGGCACATCACCGGGGTTCACTGCTTCTCCTTGCCACTTCTGAAATGTCACTGAAACCCCTCGGCTCTGCCTGGCCCTGACGGGATGCACCATGCATCCATCCATGCACCATGCACACATGCCTCCGGCCATCCATGCATCGTGCACATATGCATCAGTCCGTGCATCCCACCCTCCACAGCCCCAGTGCAGCTTCACTCACTTGTGGAGGTGCCTGAAATGCAGCCAGGGCTGTGCTGGCTGGCTGGACTCTGCCAGGGAGCTCCAGGAGCCAGGGCAGCACAGGCTGGCAGGAGGTCTGGGATGCTGGGATCCAGCCCAGCCCAGGACACTGGAATCCAGCCCAGGATAGAATCATGGAATCGTAAAATCGTTTGGGTTGGAAGAGACCTTTAAGGTCATGGAGTCAAAATGTTAACCCGGCACTGCCAAGTCTACCACTAAACCATGTCCCCAAATGCCACATCTACGCGTCTGTTAAACACCTCCAGGGATGGTGATTCCACCACGTCCCTCGGCAGCCTGTTCCAGTGCTTGACAACCTTTTCAGTGGATAAATTTTTCCTAATATTCCACCTAATCCTTCCGTGGCACAACTTGAGGCCATTTCCTCTTACCCTGTCACTTGTCACCTGGGAGAGGAGGCTGACCCCCACCTCACTACAACCTCCTTCCAGGTAGCTGTAGAGAGTGAGAAGGTCTCCCTAAGCCTCCTTTTCTCCAGGCCAAACACCCCCAGTTCCCTCAGCAGTTCCTCATCAGATTGGTGCTCCAGGCCCTTCACCCCCATTTATTCCCATCCTTTTGGTCTTTTGTTTTTCCCTTTGATTTGATTTCCTTTCTTTTGTGTTTCTCCCCACCTCGACACCCCCCCCCCCCCCCCCAACCCCTCCCAGTTTGCAGGACATGGTGGCAAAGTATCAGAAAAGAAAGAGTAAACTGTGAGGAGCTTCTCTTTCTTTCCCCCCCCTCCCCTAACCCTCACCTCACCCCCACGGGCCGGGGCCCCGCATGCCACTGGCCCATCTCCGCATGCCCTAACAGCACCCGCAGCACGGCACGTAACCGCATCCCATGCAGGGGGGACGGGATGAGCCCCCGGGATGGGGCAGGGGGGATGCTGTGCCATGGCTAATGATGAGCACATTGGTACGGAGCCCCACCGCCACCCACCATTAATATCCCACCTGTGGTCGCTGCACCACGACGCGGGCCGCGCTTAACTAACGGCACGGGTATGAACTGTGTTTGATGTGGAGTTTAATTCTGACGGCTATAAAACCTTAGCTGCCCCCAGAGTTTGTTTTAGGGGGCTCGTTGGGGTTTGTTTTGTTGTCATTTTGTGGGTTCTTGTTTGTGTTTTTCTTCCAAGCTGAGCGTTGCCTGGATGTATTGCAGGGGAGGGAGACGTGCGTGTGATGGAGCGCGGCAAATTGCTTTGCATGTAAAGAGGAAGATTCATACACAGGGTCTATCCCAGCCTGTGCTGTCTGCTGCCAGCCCCAGGCAGGGAATAAGCCCAAAGCTGGGTGGATAAAACAGCTCTTTAAGATGATATGATATATCCCATCCTTGGTGGGATCCCTCACCTCTCACCGGCCGGCAGCAGAGTGGTTAGAGAGGGGGCTGTGCTGCTTCGATTTCCTTATGGATCCCGCCAGTACTGCCATAACCCTAATGAAAGCAGTAAGCAGTTAGGTATTAAGGGAGATTTATACAGGGATGCTTTTAACGTGGAGGAATGGATTTTGCAATGCATACGGCGCCTTCTTTCTAAAGGCAATCAATATGGTTACGAACGGCTGATATAAATTAGATGGTTTAAGCCAGATAGGACTTTTTTAACTCTGGGATGTAAATCAGGAGCTCCAGGCTCAGCAGGGCTGTAAATCTGCCCGCCTTGCTGGGGTCGTTTCTGTTCTGCCTGCTAAACTCCTGTTTACCCAGGGCCATCAACATTGCTCCTGCTCGCTGTAACTTTGCACTCGACGGTGGCCTGTAAAACGAACCCACTTATTTCCTTCCCAGCCCTAGGGCTGGAAATCTCCTGTGTTTCTGAAGCTGTGCCCTGCCTGCTGCCCTGTGCAATGGCAGGGGGGAACATTGGGCAGAAGGTGCACGAGCTCCTTGGATGGGCAAAGGGGTGGTTTGGGGGTTTGTGCTCCATGGAGCCCCTATGTATGCACATTGGAGATGGAGCAGGGCCGTGGGATGCGGTTTTGCCCACACCAGGGTACCCAGGCAGTGGGTGCTGGGAGGGTTCAGCGCCCACCAGCGCAATTTGCCACTCCAGCACCCAAAATCTCACTGCCCCATGCTCACATCTTGCTTTCTCTCACGCCAACCCGCTCCTCCGGCAGTGACGGTGACTCAGACGTGGACTCGGAGCTGGAGGAGCGCGTGGATGGGGTGAAGTCCTGGCTCTCCAAGAACAAAGGCTCCTCCAAAGCACTCTCGGATGACGGCAGCCTGAAGGGCAGCAGGTGGGTGCAGGGCTGGCTGGCAGAGGACAGGGTGAGCTGTGCCAGGGGATGGACAAGGTATAGGGGGAGCACCCATGGGATGTCACACTCTGGGTGCTGTGCTTGTGTTGCTGGTCAAGGAAGGGTTAAGTGATGACCAGCTTAGTCTCCACTGGGGACACATGTCCCCCCACCCAAAAGGACCTCCATGGTCCCCCTCCCCATCATTCCACCTGCTGCACCACCACTGTGGAGGCACATGAGCATCACAGCCCCGAGCCCATCTCCCTCCCCAGCATTCCCAATGATCGGCTCTATCCCTATGCATCATCCCCCTTCTCCAGGGCTGGATCCTCCCCAAACCTCCCCACACCTCTCAGCGATCACCAGCAGAAAGGGGGCCCATGCCTATGTGCCCCCATGGCCAGCGTGGGGCTGGGGCACACATCCCCACTCCCATTCCCTAGGGAAAGCGCTCGCCTGCTGAGTGCAGCCTGCTTTTATCCAAACCCAATTTCCTAGCCGGGCTCTAGGAGTCCCAGGGGGCTCCCCCCTCCCTTCTGCCGAGCAGGAGGGGAGAGATCTGAGCCGGGTTTTCTTAATTGGTTTAATTTATTCAGCGGTGCAGATGTAAAACATTTTGTTATGGGAGATAATTCCGCCTTTTCTGAAGTCGGGAATCAAACGCCGCGGCTCCAGGTAGCCGACAATGAAATAGATTGAACGCAACACTTGAAAAGGGGAATCAAAGTGCTGGGCTAGAACAATTCCCCCATTTACCTGGCATTTTAACTCGCTGCTATTTCCCACTGACGCACGTCGCCGAGGCAGCGCGACCGCCCCGCTTCGCCCGCTTATCTCCATCTCTCTCTTGTCTCGCCGGTGCGTGCGTGGTGCTGGCACAGGTCAGCCCCACCGGATGGTCCGGAGGGTGAGGAGCGCCCGGTGTCGGTGTTGAGCTGCCTCAGCTATAGGAAGCGGCCGGGCCTCAAGGACTCTATAGGTGGCCATGGGGATGAGCAGACGCTGTTCAGTGCCTTGGGAGAGCGGCCGCCTTCCCCCGAGCGTGCTGCTCGCAGGGCAGCCCGCAGCACCGAGCCCGAGGACCGGGCGGCTGTGATCGCCCGCGCCTTCGCCGATGCCAGCAGCCGGGCTCGCCAAGGGCTGGGCAAGCGCTGGTCCCTCTCTGCTGCCGATGGAGACAAAGCCTCCGTCGCCTCTGCCCCGGTGAGCCGGGCGTCCTCAGCCTCCTGGCGCGGGATGGAGGATGAGGAGGCAGGGGATGAGCGGTCCTCAGTGCTCAGCTTCGCCCTCTCCAGCCCTGGGAGCTTGAGGAGCCGGCGCGGGGGACCTGAAGGTCGCCCCGAGTCGCGGCTCTCCCTGGCCCGCAGCCGCATGGAAGAGGCGGACGAGGGTTCCCGTGGGCAGCCCCCGCTGGGGCGCAGCTTCTCTGTGCCCCCCCGGCCCCGCAGCGCTGCCTCTGAAGAGGGGAGTCCCAGGGACGCCCGCCCCGTGGGGCACCGCTCCTACCTGGACCCCGACCTGGAAGCTGCCATCCAGGAGGTGCTGAGCTACCGCCCGGTGCGGGCCCGGGGCTGCTCCAGCCCTGACGCTGACTCCGATGACGGCCGCAGCGTGCGGAGCGTTCGGAGCGTGCGGAGCGCGGCCCCCTTGGGTGCTGCTGACCCCAATCCCGGCAGCCTGCGCCGCTCCGCATCCGCCCTCGACTTCTCCCGGCATCACCGGCACCGGAGCAGCTCCTGCTCCTCTGAGGAAGAGGAGGAGCGGAAGAAGAAGAGCCGCTCCAAGAAGCGCTCCAAGAAGTCCAAGAAGAAATCCAAGAAGAAGAAGAAGCAGGAGTCGTCATCGTCCGAATCGGATTCCTCCTCCGATTCGTCCTCCGGCTCCACCAGCTCCTACCGCAGCACCTCCAGTGTCAAGAAGGGCCCAAAGGCAGCGGGGGGTGAGGAGCAGGGACACCCCGGCCGGGGCAAGAAGGAGGAGAAGCAGAGGAAGAAGCAGGTGGACAGCCTGATGATGAAGTATCTGTACCGGCCCGAGAGCGACTGAGGCAGGAGGTGGGAGCGGTGTGTGCTGTGCAGCATGAACCTCCCCGTGTGCCACTAACAGCTCGTCCTAACCCTCACCTGGCTCCGGGTGTGGATCTCACCTTTGCCAGGTTCCCTGGGATGTGTCCAGAGCAGCCCTGCTTTTGGGGTGCTGCAGGGCATCCCCAACGCATCTCCAGCCATGGGGCATGGCCGCAGCAGGACCAGCAGCATGTTTGGGATTAGTAGCTGGGGCACGTGGGGTACTGGGAAGTGCAAATCCCTTCCTGTTGCCCAGCCACCATCCAGGATACAGCTGAATTTATTCCTTCAGGGAATTTAAGGGCTCACCCCAGGGAATTCAGCGCCCTGGGGACAACGGTGGGTCCCGAAGGCACTGGGGAGGAATGGGATGGGTACTAACATGCATCCAGTGCAGCGTGTGAGCATGGAGGGCAGGCAGCACCCGCAGTGGGGGTGCCGGGGTGGATGGTTGGGACTTGGAGTTGTTTCTCGTGGCAGCCACATTCTGCTGCCCTGTGCTGTGCAGGGGCTTGTGATGGGGATTTGGGGAGCAAATGGTTGCGCTGGGGTTTCCGGCCGTGATTTCAGATCAGGGTTTATCCTTTCCAATGGCTTGAATAGGAAAAGAGCTGGAGGAAAGGGAAAGGAAAGCCTTCTGGAAACGTGGTCATAGTCGGGCTGCCTCACCCAGGGCCAAGGAAGGCATCATGGGGTGATGGTGGTGGGGAGGAACACCCCCCAGGACCCAGCCGTGGGCTCTGGTGCATGCAGGACCCTCAAGCGGTGATGTCCATGAGCACTGGTGTTTGCATCCATGGCCATGTGCTAGGTGCCTATGGGGCTGGTAGCCATTGGGCAGGCCCAGTTTGACCCACGGGGCTCAGCTCAGCCTGGGAATGAGTCAGCTGCAGCGGAAGATACCCCAAATCTCTCCGAAACAATAATAAAGGTGGTGATGGAGGCTCCATCCATCCGGCTGCCGCCTTGCCTGCTCACCCAAGGGGATTGAGCCCCGCACTGCAGCGTGCAGGGAGCATTGAGCCCCCATTAACCCCACTTTCTCCCGCAGCCCCCCAAGTTCCCGGCACCATTTCACCTACGACAGATGGAATGAGGAGCAGGACGCCGAGGAAAGCACCCGCCGCTCATCCCACAGCTCCCCCAGCGAGGCCGAGAGCCGGGCTGCCGAGACCCCTGCCTAGAGCCCGCCATCGCCCCAGAGACATCCAGCTCTATAGGGCTGCCCTGGGCAGCCGGTGACTCCTGATGCACAGGACATGGTGGGGGGGACACACACAGCCACCCCCCAGCCCTGCTATGGGGGGAGCAGCCCGGCCGGCTCGCTGGCTGCAGCCCCCCAGCCACCTTCCCACCTCCCGGCTGCCCTCGGCGGTGGAGCCGGTCATTCCGGCGTCCTGGTTTGTTATTCCTCAGTGCCTGCTGGCTCCTTATTTTATAACTTAAACTCCCCCCCCCCCCCCTTCCCCAGGCACCCCAGTGTCCTCTTAAACCCCTTTTAGTTGAGCCAAAGACGTCTCTCACTGGCCGGGCCCTGGGGAGCAGCCAGGAAGGGGACATGGGGATGGGGTCCCACGTACCCATGCGGGTTGTTGTCACCCCCCAACCCTGCCTGGTTGTTTTGCACTAGCCCAGCTGTGCGTCCCGTCCCGTCCCCCCCCATCCCCTTTACTTTCAGTATGGAAATAAAAGTCATTTCTGGCTGGTGGCAGTGGCTGCTCCATGGGGGTGGAGGGGTCACCCTGTTTTGGGGGGTGATGGTGTTGGTGGGTTGGATCCAGCCTCGATGAGGATGCTGCATGGAGGGACCAAGCCCTGCGCCTGCTGCACCCATGGGTGATGGGGAGAGGAGACAGCCCTCGCGGGTGCTGGCACTGCATCGTTTATCAATCTTCATAAATATGCAGATGAGCAGCAGGGATGGGAGCCCTCCGCTCAGTTAATTATTTAACATGGAGGAGATGGTGATGCGCATCGCTGGCCGCCTCTGCTGCGTATGGCTAGAGCACCCACCAGCTGATTCTGGGTGCTGCCCCTGCCTCCCCCCGTCCCCAAGAGCTCCCCCCCAGGACCCCACAAACCAGGTTGTTTGGTCCCTTCTCCCAAGCATCTCTTGGAAACAAGTGGGGGAAGCTCTGCGCTCACTGCTGTAAAGCCACGCTGCGCTAATGCGCTTTCATTAAGTGGGAGCGATCTAATGATAATAAAATGGCACATTTAACATTAAAACATTTAACTTGACTCCTAAGCGAGAGCATCTCTGCACTGTTCCAGCTCCATCTTCATGAGGCTGACAAAGCTCCTTAATTTGTTTCCTGGGAGCTGGTGCTTGGTAGAGACAGCTTGGCACCGCGCGGCATGGGGGATGCTGGGATGCGGGGAGGCAGGGTACCAGGATGCTGGGATGTGGGGATGGAGGAGGCAGGGGTGCTCGGTTCTGGGGATGTAGGGTGGCAGGATGTTGTGCTATGGGTATGCAGGGGTGCAAGATGGAGGGCTACTGAGATGGGGGGAGGTAGGAATGCTGGGATCTGAGGAGGCAGGGACCAGGATGCTGTGATAGAGAGATGCAGGGGTGCTGGGAGGTGGGGTGGAGGGGTGCCAGGATGCTGGGTGATGGGATGGTGGAGTATGGGGATGTGTGGATGCAGGGTAGCTGGGGTGTGGGGTGGAAGGGTGCTGAGGTGCAGCATTCTGGGACACCGGGATGCAGGGATATGGGGATATGTGGGGATGCGCGGGGATGCTAGCATGCCGGGATGTAAGGATGCTGGGATGCAGGAACACAGCTGCAGGTCAGTGTGGGCACAGCCACGGCCTCTCACCTACAGTGCAGCCCGAACCACTCCAGGGAAGCGGGTGATGGCAAAGGGAGCAGTGCTATGGGATGGCTCCTCACCCAGGCTCAACTCACACAGCAGCTTCCCCACCACTGGTGCCAGCTTGAACCCATGGCCTGTAGGAAAACAGTGGAGGTTGGGGGGCACAGGCCAGACTGGGGCACTGGGGGGTGTTGGGTGCCCCCACCTACCCGAGAAGCCAGCCCCAATGATGATGTTGCTGTACTTGGGATGCCGGTCCAGGATGAAGTCTCCATCCGGGGTGTTCTGGGGGAGCCATGGTGTGAGAATGCAGGGCCAGGGGTCCTCTTCTGGACCCAGTATTGTGGGGAAGGCACGGCAAGGTGCAGCTTGGGGTTGGATGCCCCCGGGGGACACTCACCGTGTAGAGGCAGGTCTCCACCACGGCTGGCGAGGGCTCCAGGCCGGGCAGGTAGCTGCTGATGAAGCTGCTCAGGAGGGTGACATCGGGACGGGGGGTACCCGGGGGCACCCGGTCCCTCTCATCGGGGTCCGTGGGGCTGCCGTGGTGGTAGCAAACCTGGGGGGCAGCAGGTCAGGGGGGCTGCTGGGGGGACCCCCCTAACACCACCATACCCCGCTCACCTTGACCAGACCGGGGTACTCGAGGGCGGGCAGCCCATAGATGCCGTGTGGGGCTTGGCTCAGCCCCATGGCCATGAAGCAGGGCCCGGCTCTGCTTGCTCTCCCAGGCTCTTTCTCCTTCCAGTAGCAGACGTCGATGCGCAGGGGCTGGGGTCACAGCGTTAGCCCTGGCCGTGGCCGTGCCACCCCATGGTGCCACCAACCCTCACCTGCAGCGGGAGGTGAAGACCCAGCGGTGCCAGGAGGGCACGGGTCCAGGCTCCGGCGGTGATGATGAGCCGGGGCGCTCGGTACACGCCGGCGGTGGTGGTGATGGTGAGCACGGCCCCAGGCTCAATGTGCAGCACCTGCTCCCCATCCTGCAGGGTGCCCCCGTGCCGGCGGAAGGCATCCTGGGAGGGGATGGGGACAGGAGGTGACTGCAGGGACTGAGCCAGAGGACACCCATCCCATCCCATCCCGTCCTATAGCATCCTATCTCATCCCATCACATCCCTTCCCATCCCCACCCATCCCATCCCACCCCATCCCATCCTATCCCATCCCATTTCATCCCATCCCATCCCTTCCCATCCCTTCTCTTCCCTTCCCTTCCTTTCCCTTCCCATCCATCCCATTCCATACCACCCCATCCTATCCCATCCCATCCCTTCCCATTCCATACCACCCCATCCTATCCCATTCCATCCCATCCCATCCCATCCCATCCCATCCCATCCCATCCCATCCCTTCCCTTCCCATCCATCTCATTCCATAACACCCCATCCTATCCCATCCCATCCCTTCCCATTCCATACCACCCCATCCTATCCCATCCCATCCCATCCCATCCCATCCCATCCCATCCCATCCCATCCCATCCCATCCCATCCCATCCCATCCCATCCCTTCCCTTCCCTTCCCATCCATCTCATCCTATCCTATCCTATCCTATCCTATCCTATCCTATCCTATCCTATCCTATCCTATCCTATCCTATCCTATCCTACCCTATCCTATCCTATCCTATCCTATCCTATCCCATCCCTTCCCTTCCCTTCCCTTCCCTTCCCATCCACCTCATCCTATCCTCTCCTATCCTATCCTATCCTATCCCATCCCATTCTATCCTACCCTGTTCCATCCTCTTGACAGCACCCACCTGCACTGCCCACAGCGCCCGGTCAGCGAACAGCACCCCACCAGTGCTGTCCCACAGGGCCACCTCTCCAGCGTGCAGCCGGAGGCCAGGGAAGTGCTGGGCCAGCTCCACGGCATCAAGGACGCGGTTGTCCCCCAGGCTCTGGCGGCAGCCCTCCAGCTCCGGGTCACCCGCCGGCCCCAGCACCACCAGCCCTGTCCGCCTGTGTCCCACCAGCCACATCAGTTCCCCCTCCATGCCCTGACCCCCCTTGCTTTGCCCCTGGGGGAAACCGAGGCACTGGCAATGGTGATGCTTGGAACGTGCGATGCCTGATATTAGGCATGCTGGGTGATGCGGGCTATACAAGTGATAATGGGGATATGGGTGTGTGCGGTGATGCATGGGGAGGATCCAGATGCCAGCATCCCACTCACAACGCCCCCTCCCCCCCCCGCAATCCAGCTATTGCCATCAGCCCTGACCCCAGCAGCAGAGGATCATTTGGATGCTCATTTCCTTAATGATGCTTCCTTATGAGCCCCATAAATTACCCAGGGCTGGCAGCTGCTGCCGGCGCGGCCTCATCCAGCCCTGACACACGGCTTCCGCAGCCCCCAGCCCCACGTGGAGGGAACAGTGCCCGGTGGGGCTGCATCCCCATTGCCATCACCTGTACAGGCTGGTGCCGGCCTCGTCCTCCAGCTGCTTCCAGAGGCGGAAGCTGTCGGGCATCATGCGGGCATAGGGCACCCGGGGGTAGGCGCTGCGGGTGATGCGGCTCTGCCCATGCGAGCTGCCTCGAGAGTGGGGCAGGATGAACTGCAGAGCAGGGGGACAGGGGGGTTACTGCCACCCCCTGACACCTGGGGACACAGCCTGCCCTGACGCCGTCCCAGCCCCGTGGTGCTGGGAAACGGGGGTCCTGGCACTGGGGACATGTGGCAGCTCCACTCCATGCCATGCAAAGGGTATCCAGGCCTGCAGGCACCCGCCCCAGCTCGTTGTCACTGGGGACACAGTGGAGCTGGGGACATGTCAGGGCTGGGAACACGGTACCTGCTCCAGCAGGAGGGTGTCCCTGTGGCGCTGGGCCAGGTGATAGGCGGTGAAGGAGCCCTGGATGCCGGCCCCGATGACGATGGTGTCGTAGGTGGCCTGGTGGGGCTGGCTGGGGGCAGCCATGTCCGTCTTTGTCCTTGTTCCCATCCCTGTCTGCAGCCGGGAGCAGAGCCAAGGGGAGGGATGGGGCAGAGTCCAGCCATTGGTGGTGGAGCTTTGGCCACCCTCCAGCCCCAACAGGGACAGTGGGAGCCGCATCCTTCCCACCAGGACCGGCCTGAACCCCGCATCCCAGGGTACCAGAGGGTACTACACCCCTCCATCACCCTCACCCCCCCAGCAGGATCAGAGCAATAGGGTGGGATAAATGTGATGGAAAAGTGTTTCCAGTAAATCCCCTTTTCCCTCCCTGCTGGTCCCTGGACATGGGGCTCAGCAGAGCTCCCATTTGTGTGCAATGCGAACCCCCCGCTTGCTTCAAGACAAACAGGTTGGTTTTTTCCCTCCAGCACAATTTATTGCAGCCATAAACCATTTTGGTGCCATCTTTTCTTGTTGCTGCTATGTTTTTAGCAGGAGATAGGGGTGATTTAGGGCTCAGAGAGGCCGGGATGTGAAGCCCCATGTCCCACTGGTGCTGGTGCAAATTATGGGGTGTGATTTGGGGTTTGAGGACACTCGGTGATGCTTTTGGGGGGGGTAACACAGGCAGGGGATGCCAGTGCCCATGTGCTGCCTGACGGCTAATTAGGGGAATTAATTTACTCTGGCTTTCGTGGTGTAAAAGGCATTACTTACTGGTTAATTGTCGTTATTATGAAATGTTAAATATCATTACTTACATTGCTGCTCGCATCCGATGATGGATGAAGCACTGGGGACTAGCCTGGGGGGGGAATTCCTTCCCCCCCCCTCAACGTGGTCCTCAATTGGGTCGTGGGGATACCCCAGCATCATGCGAAGGCAGATCCGGCAGCAGACAGGGATGGAGAGGTGATGGGGCAAAGACGGGGAGCACAAGCAAAGGATGGGGTCCCTCACAGACCCCTCCTCAGTGCTATTCCTCAGGACCACTAATGCAATGAGGACGTGCCGGCCTCAGCATCGCTGCGATGCCCAAGGCTCTGCATCACGCGGTGCCCCACTAAATCAGCACATCCTCCCTCGCCTTTGATGTTAGGAGTAATTCACCAATTCCCCCAGGTTTCAGCTGGCTTTTTTGTGCTTTGAACAGCACCTCTTACCTGCTCTTCCTTCTTTTTTTTGCTGGGAAGATGAAGAATAATTAATTATCCGTGAAACATTACATGGCAAAATGAACTCCTCTCCTGTTAACGGTGTGTTAATAGGTCGGGTTGGAAGAGCCTTGATCAGATGCTGTAAAGCTGGGGAGGCTGTTGTGGGGTGCAGGGATGATTGTTGGTGTTGGAGGAGACAGTGACCATCTCCAGGGCTCTGTGGGACCCCTTAAACCATCACTTTCATTGCATGGATGATCCCAACCAGGGCTGCTCTCATCTTGGGGATGTCTATTTTCCAAACCCCCAAAAAGCAGCAGCATGGGCTCATCTTGCATTGGGGTGAATTTTTGGGGTGCTACTTCAGCCCTGTGCTGCATAAGAGAGAGAAGATGGTCTCCATCACTCCTGCCTCTTATCTTGGGTTTAAATTAACCAGAGGCAACGCTCGAGACAGCAAGAAATCCATTTCCCAAAGCAGCCGGCGCGGGTCAGGAGAGCACAGTAAAAATGAAATATTCCCAGTGCAGGCTGGGAGGATGGATGGGAAAACTCGGGGCTGGCACTGCCACAGGGTGGGATTGATGAGGGAAGAGCCTGGCTCAGGCTGCAGGAGCTGAGCCTGGATCAGATCCATGGGGACCAGGACAAACTGGGAATGAGGAGCTTTGGCCAAGGCCAGGCAGGGCTCAGCAGCTCAGAGCTCTGTACCTGCTGCACCCATTGCACATATTGCACCCACAGCACCCATTGCACCCATTGCACCCATTGCACCCATTGCATTCATTGCATCCATTGCACCCACTGCACACTGGGCTGGCAGGTGGAGTATCCCAAAAACCCACCACCACCCGTGCAAGCGCTTCATGCTGGGCTGTGCCAGCCTCGTACATTCCCCATCAAAATGCCAACTGGCACTAAAGGAAGAATTAGGGAGCCAGGATGCTCCCTGGGGAGCACAGCATCATTGTGCTGTGCTCGTCCCCATTTATTTCCCCGTCCAGATGCTTTGAAGGCACCTGCAAAGGGTTTGTTTGCTTTGTGTCAAACCCAAACAGGAGGCAGCCCCTCATTAGCAGTCCAGGTAGGTGCCGGGGGAAGCGTTGGGCGGCTTAAAAATTATTTGAATATCATAATATCAAAACCCGTCAATTTGGCCTCAAAATGTTCATCTTCCAAGCCCTACCAGGCCTTTGGTGCATTAAACATTGATGCAGCTACCAGCAGATCAAAGTTTTGGGTTTAGAGCTTGAAAGCGCTTTGCGGGAAGCATCAGTTGCCCCCTGCCTACCCCACATCCCCCTGGGACGAGGACCACAGCATCGGTCCCAGCGCAGGCATGGGTTTGCCCACATCCCGAGCCGAGGTTTGCCTGGTGCGTGCTGGCAAAGCAGGGCCTGGGTTTAGAACTGCAAACCCACCGGGCGATGGTTGGCTGCGTGGGCTGGGGCCGGCCGGGCTGCGGGCTCTGTGCGGCGCACGGCGTCGGCGCGGGGAGGAGAAGCCATCTGGGCTTTGGCGGAGATGGGGAGGGGGTTATTCAACAAAGAGCCGGGTTTGTGTTTATTTTTAACACACGCAAGAGCCGTCCGGCAGCGGTGCCAACGCCATCTGCCTGCTGCAGGGCTGGCGGCCCCCGGCCCTCCCCGGGGAGCCAGCGGGCTGGGGAAGGGGGGTGAGCCCCTTGGAACACAGAATACACCCACACACACACACACACACACACACACAACAAGCTGCGAGAGCTGCCCTGGGTCCAGGTTGCCCTGATTAGGGATAATGAGCTCAGCCCTAACTGGGGCTATTTAGGAGGAGGAGATGGAGAAGGGCAGCTGAAAGGAGTGGGTATCCAGCATGGAGTGGGGGGGATATGACAGGGTGGGTGCCGCTGAGCTTTCCCACAGGCCCCCAGCCTGGAGGGTGGTTTACATTCGGGAACGGGGGGTGTACAGGAGATCCCCCTCCCCCAGCCTCCATCTCCCAGTATTTGCGGGCGCGGCGCTCGGAGAGTTACGGCGCGGAAGGAGGGGGTGGCAGGGAGGAGCCCCCCCCCCCTCTCCCCGTTCCCTCCCCGTTCCAGCCTGCAGGATCTGCGTGCGCCGCACTCGGAGCATTACGGCGGGGTCCGTGTGCGTGTGGCGGCATTGGCGGGCGCCGCACCCGGAGCGTTGCGTTGCGGCTCGGCCGTGCCCGCAGCGCGGAGCTGTCCGCGGTGCTGACCGCCGCCGGCCATGGGCTCCGCGCCGCCGCCCGCACGGCTCCTGCCGCTGCTCGCCGCGCTGCTCGGGGCCACCGCACACGGTAAGCGCCGGGACCGCCATCACCGCACCCCCTTCCCCGCTCCCCTCCTCACCACGGTGACCCCCCCCCCCCCCCCCCCCCCCATCCCCGCACCCTCCCGTCCCGGTCACCCCCCCCCCCCATACACACCAACACCCCCCGGTACCGGTGGCTCCAGCCTTGTCGCCGCTAAACTTTGCCAACTTGCGCTCGATCCCTCCTCACCGGGGGGGCCCCCGCCATCACCTCTCCGTTATCCCCCGCCCCCCCTCCCTTTCTCCGGTGGTGCGGGAAGCGGGAGCCGCCGGGGGCGCGCAGAGCTGTTTGCAGCCGGGCTGGTGCAACGCCGCCCCCGGCGGGCTCTGGAGACGGCCCCTCTGCCGGTATTACCGATGGGGGGACCCGCGCCCTCAGCATCAAGCCCTTCGACACCCCTCACCGGCTGCGAGTCGGCCCCTCCGTGCTGTGGCGCCTGGGGGCATTCGTCTCTGTCCCCCCCCCTTCCTCTCTGGCTCGCTTCGGGTGACCCCTTTGGCTACGGGGAGAGCGCAGGGGAGATGAAGGGATGTGGGGGTTGGTCCTTCCCAAGGAGAGCAGCCAACACCCAGCTCAGCTCCTTAGCTCTGCCACCCATGGGGCACGGGCAGCCTTGATGCCTTGTGGCTCTGCTGCCCCAAACCCCAAGACTGGGGACGTATCAGGGCTTGGGGTGCCCCAGTTCACTGTGGGCAGGGTGAGGAGCGGGTGGGGATCCATCCCTGCTGGCCCTGGCGGGGTGCGGGCAGGGGGACGCAGGCTCCCTGCGGGGCTCGGCCAAGCTGCAGGCAGCAGCCGTGCAGGGACTTACATAAACTCCCCATCTGGCAGCAGAGCCCAGCCAGGGAAGGGCGTCGTGGCCCTGTGCCCGCTGCTATTCCCGTCTCACTGTGCCGCCGGGAGTGATGCCACAGCCTCTTGCTTGGGTGGAGAGGGTGGATGGGGGAACTTCTGCATGGCAGCAAGTGCAGCAAGGCCATGGCACCCACATCTCCCACCCCACTGGGTGTGTGTGGGGGGGGTGAGGGGTGTCTGTGTGCCTCGTTCTGTCCTGGGAGCAGGGCTCTGGCTTCCCCCAAGGGAGGCTGGTGCTTACAGTGTCAGTTTAATGATTTCTAATGAGCAATTACCTCTAGTCAGTCCCCTAATTTCTGAATATCAATAAAGTTAATTAAACTCTGTACGTGCGTTTCCCAGAGTGTTAGAGGTAGGGATGCCCTGGGAGGTGCCAAGCTCTTCCCAGGGCTGGGAGCTGTAGGGTCTTATTCACCCTGTGCCCCCCCCCAATGTGCTGGGCATTGCCCTTGACACTCACCCACCCTCTCCCTGTCCCCCATCAGGCAGGGCTCCCAGCCCAGCACCCTGATTTCCATGCAGCACCACCTTGTTGTCCTTGGCATTGATGGGCTGGAGCATGCTGGGGATGTGCCGTGGGTCTAGGTGATATGGGTACAGGGTTCACAGAACCCTCACCCAGGCTGAGGGGATCGCTGATGTCCCCTGGATGATGGCAATGCGGGGCTAGGACCCAGTGGCCTGCAGGCTTGGCCCAGCCATGGGGCAGCACCAGCTGCCAGTGCCCACAGGAGTAAGTGGGGTGTAGGCCCCACAGCACTGATGCAGCCAGGG